CCATCTTCATTCAACTCTCGGATGAAATGATACCGCATCTTGATGTGTTTCGTTCTACTGTGAAACACCGGATTCTTTGCGAGATGAATAGCACTCTGGTTGTCACAATATAGAGCGCAATCTCCCTGCTTCATGCCCAACTCAGAAAGAAAGTTCTTCAATCAGATCAACTCCTTGGTCGCTTCAGCAATGGCCATATACTCTGCTTCTGTGGTTGAAAGAGCCACACTCTTCTGTAGTCTGGACATCCAACTGATTGCCATACCTCCAATAGTGAATACATACCCTGTTGTGCTCTTCCCGGAATCATAACAACCCCCCAAATCAGCATCGGCAAATCCTTCAAGGATCACACCATTCCTTCTGAAACATAGGGCAGTTTCAAAAGAGCCTTTCAAGTAGCGCAACAACCACTTAACTCCTTCCCAATGCTCCTTTCCCGGGTTTGACATGAACCTGCTAACAACTCCCACTGCATGAGCAATGTCTGGCCTTGTTGAAACCATCGCGTACATCAAACTGCCAACGGCTGATGCATAAGGAACTTTAGCCATTTCTTCTTTGTCTTCATTGGTCTTTGGAGACTGCTGCTTGGAGAGTTTCAGTTGACTCCCTAACGGTGTACTCCTTGGTTTGGCATCCGTCATTCTGAACTTCTCAAGGACCTTCTGAATGTACTTTTGCTGTGAAAGCTGTAAAGTACCTTCTATCCTGTTTCTGACTATGCTCATCCCAAGAATCTGTCTTGCTTCGCCTAAATCCTTCATCTTGAATTCTTCTGACAACTTCTTCTTAAGTTTGTTGATCTCCTGCATATTTGCTCCAGCCACCAACATGTCATCAACATACAAAAGAAGAATGATGTATGATGACTTGAATTTCTTCAAGTAGCAGCAATGGTCCATCTTGCATCTAGTGTATCCATTCCGCTGCATAAAACTGTCAAACCTCAAGTACCACTGTCTATGAGCTTGCTTTAGCCCGTATAGACTCTTCTTGAGTTTGCACACCAACTTCTCCTTACCGCTCACTGGGAACCCTACTGGTTGAGCCATGTAAATGTCTTCTTCAAGGTTGCCATGAAGAAAGGCAGTCTTTACATCCAGCTGCTCCAATTGCAAATTTTCAGCAGCAACAATACCAAGGATCAACCTGATAGTAGTCATCTTCACAACCGGAGAGAATATTTCATTGTAATCAACCCCCTTCTTCTGTTGGAACCCCTTGAAAACTAACCTTGCCTTGTATCTTTTGCTCCCAGGCCATCTGCTTCATCTTTGATTCTTAACACCCACTTGTTCTCCAAAGCTTTCTTTCCCGGTGGTAACTTGACTAAGGACCAAGTTTGGTTCTTATCAAGTGAGTCTAACTCATCCTCCATGGCCTTCTTCCACTGTATGGAATCCTTCACACTCAGCGCCTCTGTGTAAGATTCTGGCTCTCCATTCTCGGTCAGCAACAGATAATTTGCTGAAGGAGAATATCTGTTAGGAGGTCTTCTGTTTCTAGTGGACTGTCTGATTTGTGGAGTAGCTTCCTCCGAGCTCCCATTATCTTCATCACTCCCACTATCTTCAGAAATTCCTGTATCTCCTGAGCTCCCACTGCTCCCTGAGCGTCCAGCCATGCCATCACAACCAATAGGTTGTGCTATGTCGTCTTCAGTCATCCCTTCAAACACCACTTGTTGTTTATTTTCTGGTTGCTTGCCTTTGCTAGTGTCTGTTGCAAGATCATATTTATACAAGGCATTCTCGTTGAAGGTGACATCTCTACTTCTGATAACCTTCTTGCTGTGGTTGTCCCAGAACCTGTAGCCCATGTCATCCAGCCCGTACCCAATAAAGATACATTTCTTTGCCTTTGCCTCGAGCTTGTCACTATCTGCATCTCTAACTTTGACATAAGAAATACAACCAAAAACTTTCAAGTGATTAAGAGATACCTCATGACCTTTCCATTCCTCCTCTGGAATTTTGAACCCTATGGGAGATGAGGGTCCTCTGTTGATCAAGTATGCTGTTGTGTTCACCGCATCGGCCCAGAACATCTTTGGAAGTCCTGCATGTAATCCCATGCTCCTAGCCCTCTCATTCAGTGTTCTGTTCATCCTTTCTGCAACACCATTTTGCTGTGGTGTTTCTGGAACCGTCTTCAGCATTCTTATCCCCTGTTCAGCACAATACTCTACAAACTCTGTGCTACTGTACTCACCCCCATTGTCACTCTTTAAACACTTGATATTAAGATTAGTTTCATTCTCAACTGCAGCTTTGAACTTCTTAAAAGTGTTAAAGACTTCAGATTTATTTTTAAGAAAATAAACCCATACCTTCCGTGTAGAGTCATCAATGAGTAACATAGTAGCGGGAACCTCCCATTGAAGAGACCTTTGTAGGTCCGTAGACATCTGAATGAATCAACTCCAGCCGCTCAGTCTTGGGTTGTTGCCCTGTCTTCACAAAGGTTACCCTCTTTTGTTTGCCAAGGACACATGGCTCACAAAAGCTCAACTTTGAATTCTTCAAATCTGGGATTTTACCCTTTGAAGACAGCATCTTCATTCCATTCTCACTTATGTGCCCAAGTCTTTGGTGCCACAAAGTAGAGACCCCTGCATCTTCAACTGCTGCGTTTGCTCCATCTGTAGACACTTCTACCATGTACAGCGTACCATGCTTCTGTCCACGAGCAATGACCAGCTTTCCCTTTGTCACCTTCCATTGCTTGTTGCCAAAACTAACGTTATGGCCTTCCTCATCAAGCTGTCCCACTGAGATCAACATCTTCTTCAGATCTGGAATATACCTGACATTTTTCAGCCTCCAGGTTGTACCCAAAGTGGTATTGAGATTAACATCTCCAATACCCGTGATCTCCAGGGATTTGTCATCCGCCAAACGAACTCTTCCGCTGTAGGGCCTGAAATTTTGCATCAAATCCCTGCAATGACAAGCATGAAACGACGCACCTGAATCCATGATCCAGGACTCAATTGAATTCTCAACGCTGCAAATTAGGACATCTTCATAATCCTCTGCCACGTTCACCTCTTTCTTGCCTTTGTCTGCAGAGGCTTTGGGGCACTGATTTCTGAACTGTCCATTCTCCTTGCAATTCCAACAATTGATGTCCTTCCTGTTCTTGGATTGACCTCTCTTCCTCGACTTTGATCTTCCTTTCTTGTTACCTCGTTTAGTGGATTTTCTGCCCCTATCTTCAGTACTCAACAAACTATTGGAGCTATCCCCCGAACTTCTCCTCCGGATATCCTCACCAAGGATCAAGTCACGAATACCCTCAAAGGTAAGTTTAGTGGTTCCAGCCGAACTACTAACTGCTGTGACTGTACCGGACCAACTATCGGGCAAAGATGATAACAAAAGTAATGCTTGAACTTCATCATCAAATTTAATCTCAACCGAACCTAACCTGGATATGATTGAGTTAAACTCGTTGACGTGATCTGTTACGGCTGCACCTTCCTTCATTCTCGTGTTCACCAACTGTCTGATTAAGAAAACCTTGTTGGCCGCTGAGGGTTTCTCATACATGTTGGATAACGCCTTGAGTAGTCCAAACGTTGTTTTCTCGTTGACGATGTTGTAAGCAACGTTTTTCGCCAACGACAACCTCACCACACCAAGAGCCTGTCGATCCAGCAAGTTCTACTCCGCCTCTGCCATTGATTCTGGTTTGTTCTCAGACAAGGGTAGATGAAGCTTCTTCTGGTAGAGATAATCCTCGATTTGCATCTTCCAGAAAGCAAAATCTTGACCATCAAATTTATCGATCTTAACCTTCCCTTCGTCAGTCATAGCTCTGATACCACTTGTTACGATTTAGGTTAATAAAACGATAAATTAAAGAGCAAGAACACAAGAATTTACGTGGTTCACACAATCCGGGTGATTGTGCTAGTCCATGGCGAACGAGAGAGAGTTGTTTTATTATTATGTCTGCGTCAAGGGTTTACACGTACATTAGAGTCGTTTAAATAGGTTTAACAAAAACCTAAACAAAGATTAGAGCCGCAGGCCCAAAAATTAAGCCCGTAATTAAGATTAACCCGGTCGGGTCTCCTATTTGACCCGGTCGGGTATCTCCTCAGCAAGCATGCCCGGGTTGAAACTAGGGTGGGTAACCAAAACAGAAAGGTAGAATCTCCACTGGCCCGGTCGGGTCCCCTTCTTGACCCGGTCGAGTGTCTCCTCAAAAGGCATACCCGGGTATACACCAGGGCGGGTATCCTAAACAGAAGCCAAAACCTTCCACGGACCCGGTCGGGTAAACCTCCTTACCCGATCGGATTTCCCAATCCAGAGAGTTGCCCGGCCAAATTCACATCATACCCGGTCGGGTGACTGACCCCACCCGGTCGGGTATCTCCTGCTGCTGCACAAACAAGGCTCCATCTTCAACAAGGGAGACACATTAAACTAGTTTTATTCCCTTGCTGCAGATTCAGAGTCAAGTTTGATCACCGATAGCAAAGGTTTCTAGGAAAAAGTGAAAACAATAAGAGAAGTTTTCATAAAACCCGAGAAGAGAGCACCTAAACATTGGAACAATCTAAAGAAATGGATTCTTCTCCAACGGTTCGTCAAAGAATTGGAAAAGGTGAAAAGGATCAATCATCCAAGGAAAACAAGGCAGCTTGAGGATGATGCTGAGCACGACCTAGAAGCAGAAAAGATTCTCCACCTAAAACCTCAAAACGTAGACGAGAGGAAAAGAACAGAGGAATGGATGCTCGATTAAGCATTACAGCAAGCACTGAGCCAACTTGCTCCTACCCAGAAAAGGAAAGTGGAACTACATGTAAGAGCATTCGAAACGGTGGCCCCACCTCAGGGATGTTGCAGTAACAGTATTCAAACCACACTTCCTAAGCTCAAATCCAACAGTGAAGAAGAGCAAATTACAACAAAAGGGAATGAGTGTTCCTTGAAAGCAGAAGTAACAATTTTTCATGATAAGAAAGTAGCTACTGAAAGCACCCTTGAGGAGGAGACAAAGCATCAACAACCTGAAAAGCAGAAGCACATCAGCATGTGGCATATGATATCTCAACACGTCCTCCCAGGCGTGATCACAAAGGCCGGGACCCAGCTGCTTGATGAAACAGATGATGAGGTCGAGGTCGTAATTACTGTGCGGGGAAGAAAAGCTCACCAAGATTTCAGTAGGGACGATGCTATTGAGCTTGTGAAAGAGGTAGTTCATGAGATCTTCATAACAAAGGTTCAAGATGATTCATCCGACACACAATTGGTCACTAGTGACATGGTTCCCGGAAAGGAGCTGCCAGTAATAAACCTCCCGCAGAATAATTCAAACCAGGTTCGAGATGGCGACGCTGGTGATAGTATTGTCGTCAAGGAAGAAGGAAAGAAACAAGTGACTCTTTCAAAATCAAAGAACTGGAGCAAGCTGAAGAGACTCATGTTGTTGAAGAGATCCATCACGGCTCTTCAAAGTGCCAGGAAACCAGAAAAAGTTGAACTAAGGAATCAGATGATCGATGAGAGGAATAAGGCGGAGCAATGGATGCTAGATTATGCTGTCCAAAATATTGTCACTAAACTAACACCAGCTCGCAAAAGAAGGGTGGCAATGCTTGTGGAAGCTTTTGAAGCAGTTGTTCCCCTTCCTCAAGTATAATAAACTCAATATATGTGCATACACAAGTTCCGAAGGTATAAACCTGAATAAGATCATTGCTTGTATTTATAAGTTTTGCTGAGAAGTTATTTAATACGAGCCAAAATTTAAAGATCTGAACTAACATATAATCTATGGGTGAGTTTTGTTCAAATTAAAAGTTAGTATTTCTTCTTTTCTTTGATAGGGAGACGCATTAAACTAGTTTTATTCCTATGCTGCAGATTCAGAGTCAAGTTTGATCACCGATATCAAAGGTTTCCAAGAAAAAGTGAAAACAAGAAGAGAAGTTTCCATAAAACCCGAGAAGAAAGCACCTAAACATTGGAACAATCTAAAGAAATGGATTCTTCTCCAACGGTTTGTCAAAGAATTGGAAAAGGTGAAAAGGATCAATCATCCAAGGAAAACAAGGCAGCTTGAGGATGATGCTCAGCACGACCTAGAAGCAGAAAAGATTCTCCACCTGAAACCTCAAAACGTCGACGAGAGGAAAAGAACAGAGGAATGGATGCTCGATTACGCATTACAGCAAGCACTGAGCCAACTTGCTCCTACCCAGAAAAGGAAAGTGGAACTACTCGTTGTTAATACTGGGGAGTTGGGAAACTGTTTTAGAAAATCTGGCGGATTTCTCAGAGTATCGTGTGATCACTTTCCGAATCTAATATTTCGACCCTATGCATGGGTTACACGAAATTTAGATTATGGGGATAATCACTCTCAGAGACAGTCTAAAACTGAGACACCAATATATAGACCACGAACTAGCAGTTTTAGTAGAACTCGAATTCTTCTGATTACCAAAGAGATAAGGCCAATCAGTTAGAGTTTTACTCTAACAGGAAGTCATTCTATTAAATAATTAATATGGACATGGTTTGTCTCGGCTATCATTCTTGCGTTTGATGCCTTTTCCCTTGTGATTTTGATTGTTTTTGTTTACTTCAACCATGTGGACAGTAGGTTGTCCAACATCAGGCTTTGCCTTATTTTTGTCACCTTCTTGAATGCGGAGTGATTCCTCAATCTGTATGTGACTACCGAGTTGTAACAGAGACAACTCTTCATTCCCATGTTTCAGATCACGCTTGTAATCCTTCCATGTTGGTGGTAATTTTTCAATTATCATCGCTACTGCGACGCACTCATCCATCTTCATATTATGTTGAGTGAGTTGGCCCAGAATGCGAAGAATTTCATTGTATTGTTCCATAACAGGCCTTGAGTCCATCATCTTATAGTGATAAAAATCACTAACAAGGAACTTCTTACTATAAGCATCCTCAGCCATATACTTGGACTTAGGCCTGTCAATGGGTCGGGTCTAGACCCGGACCCGACCCGGAACCGGTTTTTTTTAACGGGTATGGGTCTATGTTTTATTCCGTTTACCCGGACCCGAACCCGGACCCGTTAATACTTTTACAAAATGGGTCGGGTATGGTACATATAGTTCCGACCCGTTAAAGACCCGGACCCGTTTAAAATCATTTGTATGTAGAATAATATAGTCCTACTCCTAAATTCCTAATACAATACGGAGTGCTTTGTTATAACTAAAATGCTAAAAGGCACAAAGGAGTGACTAGTTTATAAACACTTGTGGGCCTGGTAGGACAAGCCCATGAAGTCTTGTGAGTTGTGACCTAGTAATTTACTCCATGTCTCCATATCTAGTAGACTAGTATGAGACTCCAGCCGCCTCTAGTACTTTTGCGAGAGAAAGAATCGGCTGAGAGTGTGAAGCCCCTAAATCGGAAAGAGAGACGAAGAGAGACACCAGAATTGATCCCCTGGAGTATCATTGTATCAAGAAGGTCTGATTGGGAGTCAGTAAGAGAGTTAAAGGTAACATCCTACCTTGTCTTCTTCAATTTGCAAATACGGTTTTAATTTGTTCCATACTTCCATCTTTTCTCTGTGTAAAGCAATCACTACAGCGTTATTACTTCTTAGTTCTACGTGCTCCATCTCGCTTGAATAAAGCAATCATTACAACGCTCACTACTTCGTGCTTCAATTACATATTAAAATAAAGAAAACAAAATAAAGAATCAAGATCATAAGCTCTACTCTTGTTTCGTGTTATATCACTGGCTGATTGAAGTAAAAGGTGATTAACTCCCAGATCCCACCTTACCGATGGATGACAGTATTTCAAGAACCGCCGGTCAGTTTTCAGTATTATAGTTTGTATTAGCTAATATGTTTATAAACAGAACTAGTAAGTTAATGTGATTTAGTTTTATTCCGTGATTTAGTTTTAAATAGAATAGTTTTAAGTTTACAGTGATTTAGTTACTATTTAGAAACTGAACGTTAATAACTTTTTTTCTATTTCCCACATTGATTACTGGTGGTTGTATATATTATGTATTTGCACATCAATCTTTTAATGCATTATTAGTTTAAATGCAATATAATTCAATATACAAAACTCTTTTTACAGATGTCATCTTCAGCTGGCATTCAAACTGATCTAAGTCAGCCAATTCATCCAAATCAAGCCACATCAGATAGCACCGTGGATGGAATTGAAGTTCATAATCTGGATTCAGATAATGATAGGCTAAATGAAGATGAACCAATTGCTAACACATGTGAAAGGAAACTCAAATCCAAGGTATGGGATGATATGGAGAGAGTTAAAATTGGATCTGTTTTTGTTGCTATTTGCAAACACTGTCATAAGAGGTTTGCTGGGGGTAGTAAAAGTGGAACTAGTCACTTGATTAAACACATAAGTAATTGCATTCATAGAAAAATAAGAAGTGGAGCGCAACAAGTACTTCAGTTAGAGAAGAATGCTTTGAATGACAATGTTAAAGTGGCAACTTTTAAGTTTGATCAACTTAGGAGTCGTATGGATTTTGCTAGAGCCTTAGTGAAACATAACTATCCTTTCAACATGGTTGAGCACGAGTATTTTGAAAAATTCCTGAACAATTTACAGCCAAATTTCAAACTGGTTTCTCGTAATACTGTTAGGGCTGATGTGATTAAACTTTACCAAGAAGAGAAAGAAAAATTGTATAAGACTTTGGAAGAGTTTGATGGCATGGTTAGTATGACTACTGATATATGGACGTCAGATCATCAAAATCTTGCATATGCTTGTTTGACATGTCATTATATTAGTGAAGATTGGGAGTTGAAAAAGAAAATCATTGCCTTCGGAGCCATTCCATATCCTCATGATGGTGAGACTTTATTTAGGTTTATTTCAGATATCTTGTTAGAATGGAATCTTGATAAAAAGTTGTCATCTGTTGTTGTTGATAATGCTTCTGCCAATGATTCAATGATTAAGTATTTGAAATTGTGGCTTTTAGATAAATCATTAATCCATTTGGGAGGTGATCTTTTCCATGTTCGATGTAGTGCACATATTCTAAACTTGATTGTGCAAGATGGATTAAGCATTGTTGGAAGTTTTCTTCAGAAAATTCGAGATACTATGAAGTACTTGAAAAGGTCTACTTCAGCTAACCAAAAGTTTGAGAGTGCTATTAATCAATGTAAGTTGAAAAATAAGAAAAGAGTGAGTTTAGATGTGTGCAACAGATGAAATTCTACTTTTTTATTGCTTGAAACTGCTCTTCCCTTAAAAGAAGCTTTTTTTTCGTTTGGAACAGCTGGACCGATATTACAAGTTCAATCCTTCTGAAAATGATTGGAAAGTTGCGAGTGTTGTTCATGGGTGTTTAAAAAAAATTTATGATGCTACTTGTCATTTTAGTGGTAGTAACTTTCCTACGGCAAATGTATTTTTCCCTGATATATGCAATTTGAGTATTAAGTTGAGAGAATGGGAACGTAGTGAGTATGATTTCATTCAGAAAATGGCAATTCCTATGCGAGCCAAATATGAAAAATATTGGGATGAGTGTTGTCTGGTCTTAGCTATCGCGGTGGTTTTTGATCCTAGGTATAAGCTGGCTTTAGTAGAGTATTATTATACCACTCTTCACAAAGAAAATGGTCAAAGATATTTGGATAAGGTGCGTAATGCTGTGACTGATTTATTTCTTGAGTATGGGGGTGAGCTTTGTAATTCTACTAGTTCGCTTGGAGATGATATTGGTCAGGGAACTTCAGGTAAAAAAGATATGTGTGTTGATGAAGGAGATGACATGTCTGGATTTGAAAAATGGTATAAGGAATCTTCCAATACTCCTTTTTTGCCACAAAAATCTGAGTTAGAATTGTACTTAGAAGAGCCTGCCTTCCCAAGAAAAGAGAATTTTGACATATTAGCTTGGTGGAAGGCAAACAGTCCAAAATATCCCGTTCTTGGAAGAATTGCTCGTCATATACTTGCAATTCCAGCTACCACCGTGGCATCAGAATCTGCTTTTAGTGTTGGAGGAAGAGTTATTGATGAGAAGCGTGCTTCTTTGCTTCCGGATGTAGTGGAAGCTCTAATGACAACGGCAGACTGGTTGCCATCACTAAACAAAAGAAGTAAGGCCACTGGCCACATTGAAGTCTAATAAACTGATTTTTGTCTTTATTGAGTACTAAAAAAGAATAATTTACTTTATGTCTTTGTAGAGTTTGCTGAAGAAGAAGAATCCCCGAGTCGCTCCTCTAAATGTGTTAGATCATCGTGATATGCTTCGGTAAGATCATTCTAAGGTCTAAGCTCATTGTAGTATTGTAATAATATAACTAATATCATAGTTAACAGGTGGTTATCAAGGATTCGAGGCTTGAGCACATGATATAGACGATACATTGTACAATTTTCCTTCTATCTTTTTTTTTGTGTTTATTTTTTGCAGAAACTATTGCAGCAAAGTTTGACTCTTCCTAATTATATTGTGCAGTCTTTTTGACAGAAAGTATAGCATACAGAGTTGTTCAAGCTTTGATGTGAATCCAAGCTATTTTTGACCGAGCTGAGAGCAAGCTATAATACTCTTTCAAGTTTTGTTTATTATAATATCAAAAGCATTCAGTATGTTTGGATAGAGTACTGGTTTTGCTTTGTGAATCCAAACTATTTTGACAGAAAGCAAGTTGGGATGTTCTTTGAAGTTTTGTTTATTTCATTAAAGCCATCCAGTATGTTTGTATGTGAACTTTGAACTTTAAATTTAGAAAGTAAAGATATGTTTGGCTTCTGAATTTTATTTATTGTTAATGATGATAGAGGAGTGTAACTAGTTTGTGCAATTGTTTTACGGATTTTGTTTCAAATTTGACGGGTCCGGGTATACCCGACCCAGACCCGAGAACCGTTGGGTCCGGGTCTGGGTCCAAAATTTTAGACCTGGCAGGTAAACGGGTCCGGGTCCGGGTCCCTTATTACCTTAGCGGGTCCGGGTCTGGAACACCACATTCCGGCCCGGACCCGACCCATTGACAGGTCTACTTGGACTCAAGTGAATTCCACAATTCCTTCCCATTCTCCACGTTTTGGTAAATATCAAATAAAGTATCAGACATACCATTTAGAATATGGCCCCTGCAGATGTAGTCATCGTTTTCCCACTTGGAACGACGCCTTGACTGCTCAATAGTTTCATCTTCGTGATACTCTGGCATAGGCGTACTCAGAACGTAAACCACCTTCAGTGTGGTCAACAGAAAGTGCATCTTCTTTTGCCAGCGACGGAAATCAACTCCTTGGAATTTCTCCAACTTGTCGAATTTGGAAGTCATCTCTTTTACAGATTCAGCCATGATTTTCCGAAACAAGAAAAATATTATATTCGATTGTTAATACTGGGGAGTTGGGAAACTGTTTTAGAAAATCTGGCGGATTTCTCAGAGTATCGTGTGATCACTTTCCGAATCTAATATTTCGACCCTATGCCTGGGTTACACGAAATTTAGATTATGTGGATAATCACTCTCAGAGACAGTCTAAAACTGAGGCACCAATATATAGACCACGAACTAGCAGTTTTAGTAGAACTCGAATTCTTCTAATTACCAAAGAGATAAGGCCAATCAGTTAGAGTTTTACTCTAACAGAAAGTCATTCTATTAAATAATTAATATGGACATGTTTATCCGAAAATAAATTTCCATATTTATTTCTTTAATAAAATAAAATTTTGGTCCCCGACCCCGCTCGCTGACCGGGCAGCGAGACCCCCGCCAGGGGCGCTGCCCCTTGGACCCCGCCAGGGGCGCTGTCCCTTGGACCCCGCAAGGGGGCGCATCCCCCTTGACCCCCGTCATTTAATCGAACCAAGTTTAAATTTAATTTCGTACAAGTGTGCGCTCCGCACCTCCTAACTTGTCTAAAATTAAACTTGAACTCCATTGGTAATCTATAAATTCCATTACACTAAAATGAACCTGGTGATACTAAAATCACCAACAATCTTCCCCCATTTTAGTGTAACCATGAATCTACATAAACAAGAATAAGAGACAACCAAACTTATGCATACATGAAAATATCGAAACGATTGAATTTTCATATTAGTACATTACACATTCCAAATACTCGAGAATCAGGGTGTTCTAAGAATTGAACCCTTCAACCCATTTGAATACATGAAGATAACATACACATAAGTTCAAATAAACAACTAGTTCAAAACTTTGACACTATTATTAAGCCGAGTGTCCCAATCCACTCATAATCGTATAAAAGTCAAGTCCCAACTTTTCGAAGTGCGGCTACACTTCACGATCATATAGGTAATTCCTTTAATCATGTACCTGCTTACATTTTAACAAAGGAATTATTAAGAATATATATTCAACCCTTTTACTACAGGTCCGAACACACTAACCTGGGATGACAAAATGCATGTGTTCCATTCCTTAAGTATGAGCTTTCCTCATTGAATTCAACCTCTAATATTATATTAGAGGGGAATTGGGTGTCTCATCATTATGGAATTAAATGGACTTTAAACTCATCCCAATCGCAGACTTGTGCACTAAGTCCCTGGCCAGACCTTTAGTTAAATGATCCGCCAAATTCTGTTGTGATTTCACATACTCAACAGAAATTACACCCTTCATGATTAAGTCCCTAATCATACTGTGTCTAACACCTAAGTGTCTAGACTTCCCATTATACACTTGGCTATTGGCCTTAGCCAACGTGGCAGCACTATCACAACGAATAGAAATGGGTGCAATTGGCTTTGTCCATAATGGAATCTCAAAAACCAAATCCCTTAGCCATTCTGCCTCTTTACCGGCAGCAGCTAAAGCAACAAATTCAGACTCCATTGTTGAATTTGTAATGCAAGTTTGCTTCTTAGAGGCCCAAGAAATGGCACCTCCCCCAAGCAAGAATACCCAACCACTTGTAGAAGAATGATCTTCTAGGTGATTTATCCAGCTTGCATCAGTATATCCTTCTAGAACCGAGGGATATCCAAGATAACATATTCCATAATCCATGGTTCCTTTTAAGTATTTGAATACTCTCTGAATTGCTTGCCAATGTTGAGTACTAGGATTGCTAGTATACCGACTCAACCTCCCAACCTTGTAGGCGATATCCGGACGAGTGCTTTTCATGGCATACATCAAGCATCCTATAGCTTGAGAGTATTCTAATTGTGATATTGCCTTGCCTTTGTTTGGCATTAATTTGACACTAGGGTCCATGGGAGTACTCACGGGAGAACATTCACTATAATTAAATTTCTTGAGAATTTTCTCAACATAGTGTGCTTGCGTCATAGCAATTCCTTTGTTCAACCGCTTAATCCTAATACCAAGGATTACATCAGCCTCCCCCATATCTTTCATGGAAAACCTTGATGACAATAAACTTTTCGTTTCATCAACTTGAAGTTGATCAGTGCCAAAAATCAGCATGTCATCAACATATAGGCAAATTATCACACCACACCCGGTTGAATCAAACCGACTGTAAACACATTTATCAGATTGGTTTAGCTTAAAACCACTTGATAAAATAACTTCATCAAACTTTTGATGCCATTGTTTTGGTGCTTGTTTCAGACCATACAAAGATTTGACAAGCTTACACACTTTATGCTCATTACCGGGCATAACAAAACCTTCTGGTTGGTTCATGTAAATGTCCTCATCAAGCTCTCCATTTATGAAGGCTGTTTTGACATCCATTTGATGGACAACCAGATTGTGGATGGCTGCCAAAGCAACCAACAATCTAATGGTAGATATCCGGGCCACTGGTGCATATGTGTCAAAATAATCAATACCTGGTTTTTGTTTAAACCCTTGTATTACCAAACGTGCTTTGAACTTATCTATAGTTCCATCTACCTTCATCTTCTTTTTGAAGATCCATTTGCAACCCAAAGGTTTAGAACCTGGTGGCAAATCACATAGCACCCATGTATTGTTTTCTAAAATTGATGATAATTCATCATCAATTGCCTCTTTCCAAAAGGTCACATCTCGGGATTCCATGGCCTCTTTAAAGGTCTTTGGATCTCCTTCAATACTGTAACAATACGAGTATTGAAATCCAACCTCATCCCTTGATCCTTCCACCAAATACAGCTGGAAATCGAAGCCAAAAGTTTTAGCAATTCGAGCCCGTTTGCTCCTCCTGACCTCTTGGGGTTCCGGATCTGATATTCCTTCTAAAGTTTCTGAAATTTGTCCTTCATTACTGTCAGAAATCAGATCCTTAGGCCTTGGGATTGATGAAAAACGCATGTCATCAAAAATCGCATCTCACGACTCAATCACGGTATGTACAGAAACCGAATTATTAGGATCTATAACATAGAACCTATATGCCTTGGAATTTTCAGCATATCCTATGAAAATTGAGTCAATTCCCCTTTCTCCCAAAGTATTTATTTTGGGATTGGTTAGTTTGACAACTGCCCGACAGCCCCAAATTCTGAGGTAACTCAAATTTGGAGACTTTTTGAAACATAATTCATATGGGGTTTTCTTGTTCCTTTTATTTGGAACCCTATTCAAGACATAACATGCGGTAAGCATTGCCTCCCCCCAAAAACCCTTACTCAAGCCTGAGTAAGACAACATCGAGTTGACCATTTCTTTTAAAACTCGATTTTTCCTTTCGGCAACACCATTCTGTTGTGGTGTATATGGTGTCGTGGTCTCATGGATGATACCAACTGATTGGAAATATTGGGTATCCATATATTCCCCTCCCCGATCAGTTCTAAGACATTTAACCGTATTGCTTAATTGCAATTCCACCTCGGTTTTGTATATTTTGAATTTTTGTAAGGCTTCATCCTTAGAATGCAACAAATACACATAGCAAAACCGAGTTGAATCATCAATAAAAGTTACGACATAATTTTTGTTGCCAAGTGAGGGAGTTGAATGAAAATCACAAAGATCACTATGAATCAATTCCAAAATTCCAGAATTTCGATTAATATTTTGAAAAGGTTGTCTTGTGATTTTGGTCAACATGCAAGTTTTACATTTTTCTGTATTAATATCAAAGGCAGGAATTGATCCATCTTTTGACATTTCGTGCATTCTTCTAAAATTAACGTGACCTAAACGAGCATGCCATAGCATGGCATTATCAATTGAAGAAGTAAATGATGCAGATGATACAAACACAGAATTTCCAACAGAAGATAAAGTATCAACCAAATTCAAGCAAAACATACGATTAGTAAAATAACCAAAACCAACAAACGTGCCAAATCAAGATAAAATAAATTTATCCGATTCAAAGACTTGCTTAAAGCCATCAGAATTTAAACAACCACCACTAACAAGGTTCTTACTAAGCCTAGGAACAAATAAAACATCAGACAACTTTATTGTTTTTCCCGAAGTAAACGTAAGACTAACAACTCCAAAGCCACAAATTGGTTGACTCGACTTATCACCCATCATCACCGTGGAACCATCATCAACTGGTGTCAATTTCTCGAACCATCGACGATCTTTACACATATGACTTGTGGCACCCGAGTCAACCCACCATGTACGGTCATCATCCTGTACATAAAAAGAATCAGGAATTAGTGAACAATAATTCTGAGTAGAATTATAAAGAGGGTTAGAAAGATTCTGACCTCCTCTAGATGCAGTAGAGTCCTTAGGCCCACCGTTTCCACCACCACTGTTTCCTCCACCACTATTTGCAGCATTGTTCTTATTGAGATTCACCCGACAATCACGCTTAACATGACCCGTCTTTTGACATCTCCA